GAAGCTAGGTATAGGCTTAGGATAAGTTTGGGGGATCATTGGGGTTGCTTTCTTGTCTATTTGTTTTCGGTTTCAAAGAGTTTGTGTTTTAAGGAAAGAAATGAGGTTTTAAGTGAAAGGTTGTTTTTTAAAAAAAAAAAAACTAAGTATGCTCTAATTTCAGGAGGTAGCTCTCCATAATAAATTAATTAAAAAAAAAAGAGAAAAGAAAAGAAAAAGAAATAAAAAAGAGCCTAAGTGCCAAATAAAGAAAAATAAAATAAAAGAAAAAAATAATAAGGGAGCTACCAATAAGAAATTTCTAAAGAGCAAAAGTATTTTTCAAAACCTTTTCACTAGCCTAAACGTTTAAAAATGTCTTTATTTTGAATTGGGGATGGCTAAATTTGTGAAGGAAAGGGTAGCCTCTTAAGTGGTGAGTGAGGATAAATTTCTTAAATGAGAGGGGTATAGGATCATTTGATAGTTTACATGGGTAGATGAGAATCTAATCATGTATGCATAAATTATCTTTACCTTTAGCATTATGCACAAGTTCATCCATTTTTGAGAGAAACCCTTGTTCTGATTATAAACCCTTTGCAAATGAGATCATTCTATGCTCATAACCTTAACCCTTAGCCAAATGTGTTTTGCTTTAAAGTGCATAAGTTTGATTCATGGTTCGAATGTTAATGAATGTTAAAGGATGAGTTTCTTTGATTGTTAGGAATAGGAGAGTCATGATTTGAATTTCTTTGTGTGATGAGTATGGCTAAGTTCTTTGGAGTATGAGTGTAAGCATAGCATTTTAGAACTGTTAACTAGGACATTGAGATTGATTCATTTAAAAGGCACCTTTGCAAAAAGTTTAAAACCCCACTCATTTTTTTTTCTGAAAACCTCTCTTCTTTACTTATTTTCTGTTGCTTGAGGGCAAGCAAAAAGTAAGTTTGGGGGAGTTGATGTTATTGCATATTGCATACATTTTGCATACTCATTAGTTAGCTTTTCATGCATTTGTACCATGTTTTAGGTTAGATTGCATCACTTAGGGTCCTAGAGCATTTTTGCATCAGCATACGCATTTTCCTTGCATTTTGCATCACATTTAGGTTGTTTCTGGCTGCTTTGGAGTCGTGGAGGTTCGTGGACGTGTTGAAGCTGATGTAGCAGTTCGTGGGAGCTCGGAAATATGCTAAGGACCAGAGATCGAGGAGCAGATCGAGCATGGCCGGTCGATCTAGGAGTTGATCGACCAGAAGATCGAGCCAACTAGGCGATCCAAGGAAAATGATCGAGACGGAGATCGAGTGAAGCAATCGATCAATCGGTACGGACGTAAATGACGCCATGCAGAGCGAGAGACAGATCGAGTACACCACTCTATCCAGCCGAAGATCGATACCGAGATCGGATGCAACACTCGATTCGCCGATGAAGATCAAGACCCAGATCGAGCCGAAGACACGATGTCCGGATATGATCGAGAGAACCACTCGATCTTGGAGTCGATTTCTGTCCTTTCAACCGTTTTTGGCTGTTAGCGAAGGGGGGACCATTGGCTTGTTTGGGCATTTTAGGCAAGGCGGCGAGATGCTTTTTCGATAACTTTTAGATCCTTATCTTTTCTTCATGTTTTCTCTCTCGTTTAACGAAGAACACCATTGTTGAACCAGTTTTTCTCTTAAGCTTTTGTATTCGAATCTTTATCGTTTAATCCAGTTTTTCTTTCATGTTGATCGTCGTATTTCTTCTCCTTTGCTTGATTTACTCTATGTGTAGCGAGTAGTTACTTTGGGTTCGGGGTTGAGAGGATTAAGGGGTAGAAAAGGTTCGATCTTGGTTTGTTTTCTAAACGTTTTTAAGGCTATCTCTTCTAAGGTGTTGAAAGCTTAATGCTTGAAGACTCTCACGCCAAGAGCTTCATGATCCGAGAGGTTCCTTACCTTGATAGGATCCAGGAGCCTCGGAAGATCACACCTTAGAGACTAGTTACCCCTTCCCAAAAGCCATGGAAGTTTGGGGGACTAGTTAAGCCATTTACTTGAAATCTGTTTTCCTTGCCTTTCGACCTCTCTTTCCACCAAAAGCCATGGGTTTGGAGGAGAGGATGAAAGAGTGATCTATACCGAAAGCCACGGATAGATCTTGTTTTGTTTTCAAGGCTTAGAGATCCTCACCAAGTGAGTCGATCTAAAGTTTTAAACCCAAGGTCGAACCTTTGAAACCCCTAACCATGAATCTCAACCCTAGGCCCTTTCTTTTAGCATCTTTACGTCTATTCTCATCATTCGCTTGTTATCTGATAGCATCCTTGTCATTAGCTTTACTGTTCTTACGATTTTAGACGAGATCGATTGTTACTGCTCGATCTAGTGGTCGATCTCGTGGTCGATCCACTAGTCGAATTTTAATAATTCGAAGCTCTTTCCTTTAATTAATCTGTTTGTTTCTCGTGGTAGCTGCTTCCTTTCTAGTATTTTTAAAATAGATTTCATTCTGTTTAGGTTGCTGCATCTAGTTCTTAGATATTTTCTCATAAACTGTCTCATTTTGCTTAGATTTGCTTTAGTCCTTTCATTCTCTGTGCATTCTCTATCTCCTATAAGTGGATTGAATCTCTCTTGCTTGCTATACTACGACATTGCTTGCATTAGAGTTTGATAACCTCTCTGCATCATAAACCCTCGCTAGAAAACGTTTATCAAGGCTTAAGGATAGCTCATTTAGAAATGTGTAGATTTACTTTTTGCAAACCAAGATCGAACCTTAAGTTTCCCTAAGCAGGAACTTCATCCTTGAATCTGTTATTTATCATTCAAGTACTTTCAAAAGCTTTCTCCTTTTGATTTAAAGTTTGCTCCTTTAAGCTGCTAGAAATAGCTTTAATTGCCTGTTTTCAGTTCTAGAATTTTCATAATCAGTAGTCTTGCACTTTAAATTCCTAGTTTTCTTCTAGTAGTTGCTAACCCTTAAGAGAGAATTTTTAAATTTGTTTTCTTGCTTATTTTGTATTGCATTTAGTTTTTGTTAAATTTCTCTCCCATTTTACCCGAATTTGACTTAGCTTTACTTTGCTCTTGTATTCTTAGTACTTTTCACGCCTAGGCTGGATTGACACCTAAAGTACTACAACAACACTAAGAGGCTTTAGGATTGATATTTAGAACTGAAAAAAGCTCTCTATCAATTGGCGCCGTTGCCAACTTAGGTTTTGCTGAAATTACTAGGATTTGGAGCTTAGTATAGACTAAGTTTTTATTTTTCATTTTGGTTACTAACTCTCTTTCAAGTGTTTGTTCTTTTTCCAAGGCACAATCACAAGGAAGACAGTATGGATTCGGATATAGGATCAATGTTTGAGGCCTTATTAGCAAATCAAGAGAGAATGATGGCTTGGGACCCAACAAGCAACCATGGTATTGAAAGGTCATCCACATATCAAAGAGGGCTTATGGATGAACATTCTGCTGAAGAGAATCACTATGAATATGGTGAGGGATACCAATATTGGGACATGGAGGACGAGCAAGGAGCAGTCTATTCTTCCCACATCTCTAAGGAGGAAGAAACTCTCAACATGATGAAGTTGCTTTTGGAGCAGCAAGAACAGCTTAATGAGAGCATTAGCATGCTTGACTTCAAACTACGCTCTCCTACTCCATTTTCAAGAGTTGCTGCAACAACACATGTGGAGTCTATCAACACCAAAATCACACAAGGGAATGAGGAACAAGAAGATAAAGCTCAAACCAATGATGAACTCCAACAAGAAGCTGAAGCACTTGAAGCTCTTCTTAGATACATTTTCGATGGAAATCTGGAGCAAAGATTTGAAGATCCTTTTGAAGAAAGTTCGGTTGTTGAATGTTTAGAGGCTGCTAGTGAGAGCTCATTTGTTGAGAAGGAGCTCTCCATTAAGAAAGTAATACAAGTGCAACTCATTCCCAAAAAGGAGGCAAAGGAGAATCCCATTGCAGTAGCCTCCAAAGAGGGTGAAGTAGAAGAATCTTCAATGCAACAACCTTTTGCCAAGCACCTTGGTTTCACCCTCACCAATGAAGAAAGCATTGAGGATCCACGGCAGTTACACTTTGAGGAGATAAGGATGCACACATTTGGGGGATGGTTCTATGATGAGTATGAGCCTGGTGATACAAGCCACAACATGACCGAAGAAGAGAGCCTTGAGGATCCATGGAAGTTATCCTTTGAGGAGATAAGGATGCACACATTTGAGGGATGGGTCTATGATGAGTATGAGCCTGGTGATACAAGCCTCAACATGACCAAGGAAGATGGAGATTCAAAGTCACGTTCTTGGAAGCTTTAAAAGGCAATCAAACAAGAAAGAAGGTTTTTAAAGTCATTTTTTTGGATAGTTAACGTTACCTAATAATTGACTTTAAAAACTTAGGGTCATTTGTGAAAATGATACAACAATGGATGATGCTAAAGTTATTAGCATCACTTACAAAAATCACACTATGTTTAGCATTACTTATAAAAATGACTTTAAATTTTCTATTTTTTAATGTCATTTGAAACTAACATCAGTTTTCTATCATTTGGTAAATTAGCTAAATTAACTATATTAATTAGAATAATTGTTGGTAAGATTTCTTTTATATAATAACACTTGAAACAAGATTCAAATAACATTTCTTACATCACAATTCAGTTTTCGTAATAAATTTAAAGTAAGAAAAGAAAAGAAGACACAATGAGAATCATAAGTTCTAAGTCTGAATAGTCCATAGCAAAACTTCACGGAACCTGAAATTAAAAACACAGCAAGAGATCAGAAACAAAAACAGAGCATTATAAACAAAGATCTCTAACCATTTCTTTCTATGTATATGTTCTCTAACCATATGTTCTCTAACAACAAAGAGATCACAAACAAAAGCAGAAGATTATAAATGACTAAAAGATCATTTATACCAGTCAAAAACAGAATCTCAAGTCAAAAACAGAGCATCTTAAGTCACAAATAACTATGTTCTCTAACCATTTCTTTCTATGTATATGTTCTCTAACCATATATAATCACCACAAAATTCATCGTTCTCTAACAGCAAAGAAAAGAGGAATATACCAGTTTCTGAAATCAATATCATGACTCAAATTCAAGTCTTGGAAACACCACTTTCCTGTAGATAAATAACAACGTTCGTTTGTGTTATATAGAATGTTATATAGAAGATATAAAGATTGATAAAGACAAATAACAACGTTTAAGTGTAACTTTGTTACCTGATCACTGTTGATACTAGATGATTGATGAAAATTAGTCTTAAGCTTTGTGTTCTCATCTCTTGCATTCACCTGAAATTGCAAATAAAGTGTTACATATAAAAAATATAACATGTAAATGACTTAAGGATCAAAAAGAACTTACTTGGATATGTTCTTGCTTTCTTGACTCAATAAGAGCATACACAGCATTAGCCATGACATCTAGTTTATCAGCTAATCCTTTTATTTCAGACATTATATATATCATCTCGGTAGTAGTAGACGAATTTCATTCTGAATTAGAGAAGTACGTAGATGTTGTCGGACCACGCCCAACACATCGAACTCTTCCCGGTTGCTCCGGACCAAATACTTGTTCAAATGCATCATGTGCTTCACTTTGAATATTCTCGGTCATTACTTGTTTCAGCTTATCCTACACACGACCACATAACATAAGCGATATTAAAGAGAAAATGAGCTCATAACATTTCTAAAAGAGACAAAGAACTTACCACAGAGATTCTTGCTTCGTTACAAACAAAACTTCAATCTGATCTAGTACGTGATGTAATGAAAAGTTCACGTCGACTTGGTTCTATGCCTGTCTCCTCTTCCTAGTAAATAAACGGTTGCAATGAATTCAGTAGGATAAAGAGAATCGTAAGTACTAATGAATTCAGTAACTTATCTTACCATCTCATGAGCCTTTCTAGCTAAACTCTTTTTACCAAGTGCATGCGGCATCTTATGTTTGCTTCGACTCTTAATATTACGCTCTCTCATTTTTTTTGCCTTATCAGTGAATTGCATTTCCACAAACTCTCTCCATTGGTCTTCTGGAACTAGACCCTACCGCGATTCAAATGCTTCTTGTATCGTGTTTCGTCTATGAGCATCCCAAAGACGTTGCTTCAAGTCTCTACATCTACATCCTAGAGTAGATAGAACATATTTCTTCCTCTTTGTTGGGTCATCAAACCAGAATTTTTTCTGTACAATAAAGGAAACAGTTACTTGATGAAGCATAAAACAATCATTATCATCAAACCAGAATAACATATCTCTCTCCATTACCTGAATTACTTTCCAAGCCATCTCTTTTCTGTAGTTAGAAACTTTCCTCCAATCTGTGTAATTTATAGGTAGTAGATTAAGATCATTACTTAGTGAGCCTAGCCACGAACCAAATAAACCTCCAGAATCCTTGATAGCTTGTCCTTTTGTATTGAAATCAACCATAACCCGTCGGTTTTGCATGCTCCACACTTCTTTTCCAGATATTCGTTCCTCTGTAATTCTTGCATCACCATCTAAAACACAAGAAACATCACCATCTCAGATTAATAATAAAAGACTTATAAGAGAAGGTAGAAGCTTACACACCTATGATGCGAACTTTCCATTTTCCACTTGCTAATTCTGGTCCAAGAGGAGGTGGTGCTATAAAATCTTCAGCTCCAGACATATTTATACCTATAAAAGTAGCAAAACGATTGTCATATATAAAGTTCAGAGTCTTCATGAAATGTAAAACAAGTACAATTCAGAGTCTTAACCTCCATATCACACAAAATCTGAGAACTGTCAAAATCTTCTAATTGTCTCACTAATCTAATGTCAGGAACATTATCAGATATAATCAATGATCTTTGAATATTATCAGGAGGAGCTTCGATAATAATTTCATCTTCTTCTGAAATAGTGGGATCACCCATGTCATACAAGTCTCTTGGTTGGACATGCACAACAATGCTCCATCCTATTTCTTGTGGATCTTCTACATAGTAAACTAACCTAGCCTGAGAAGCCAACACATAAGGTTCATCTTCCTCACCGCTTCCAGTGTGTATTAAACGGGAAAAATTTACCATAGTATGATCGAGATCATCCTTCTTATAACCTCGAGCATCACGAGTATCAGCCCATTTACATTTGAACAACACAACTCTAAAGGAATCATAATAGTTTAATTCTATGATTTCAACCAACTTCCCATAGTAAGAACATCCCCAACTCTAGGATAAAGATCACGAGAACATGCATAACTAATAGTCTCAGCTGAAACAAAGACTCCACTATTATGAGTTTTTAAATCTTGATCCCTTTCTATAGTTCTAAACTTGAAACCGTTGATATTATATGCTGAAAACTTTAAAACCTTATCAGATGGACCTGGTGCAAGACATCGAATATCATCAGAAATACCATCAAGATCATTCTTCTCTACTTTTAGCTTAAGCCATTGACTAAAATGGAGATGCACATGTCGATCTACATCTATCACAGTTCCTCTTTTCCTACGCCGTGATTGTGACCTTATTAATTCACTCTTAAATAACCTACATAATCAAATCCCCAAATCATTATATCATCAAAACAAAAAATCATCAAAACACCAAATCATCAAAGCAGGTTGAAGTAGAAGTCTTACTCTCGATAGTGATCTAAAAATAAACTATTGACTAGGATATAGCGATGGTCCTGCTGACGTTCATATGGACTAAGTGTGTCCAACGTAGAAGCACCAACGGATCTCCCAAGTGCAGGAAAAATAACTGGAATACATGACTCAGAACCCAACTCATGTGGAACCATATTTTTATCATCCACTCTCCCAACACGATTAAAACATGTTTCCACTCCCTCAAGATACATAGAGCAAAATGTAATGCATTCATCAGCAATATATTGTTCACATATAGAACCTTCATATCGAGCTCGATTTCGAACATATGACTTAAAATGTCCCAATATCCTATAGACAAAAATCAACACAAAGACTCAATCAACACAAAGACTCAATCAACAAAAAGATTCAATAAACACAAAAATCAACTAATAGTTACCTTTCTACTGGATACATCCATCGAAATTGAACTGGACCTCCCAGTTTCACTTCTTCTGTTAGATGAATGGTTAAATGAAGCATTACTGTGAAGAATGATGAAGGAAAGATCATTTCTAAATGGCACAATGTAAATACAATATGCTTCTGCAACTTATTGATATCTTCAATGTCAATTACTTTTAGGCTGATTTCCCGAAAAAACTGACACAACTCTGTTATAACAAATGAGACCTCACGTGGTAAAACATTACGTAAGGAGATAGACAATAAGTGACACATCAAAATGTGGCAATCATGACTCTTTAAACCAACCATTTTTCTTTAATTTATATCAACACACCTGGAAATATTTGAAGAATACCCATCTGGGAGCTTTACATTCTTCAATATGTTAAGAAATCTATCTTTATCAGACGTAGTCATTGTAAAACAAGCTGGAAGGTACCTACCATTTTCATCAGACCACAACTCCTCACGTATACGAAGCTCTTGCAAATCTTTTCTAGCACTGAGATTGTCTTTTGACTTGTCTTTTTCATTCAGTAAGGTAAAAATAAGATTATCAAACACATTCTTCTCTATGTGCATCGGATCCAGATTGTGTCACAAAAGAAAATGTTTCCAATAAGGTAATTCAAAGAATATGTGATAGTGTCTTTCTTCTTACGGTCTAATGCAGCAGAGAACTTATCAAAACTCTAATGCATGCAACGTTGTAGTAAGGCAAGCAGAGAGTGTCAATCCAGTTCTAGGTGATAGAGAATCCACAGAGAATGCAAGATCTAGGACAAATCTAAGTGAAATGAGACAGTTTGTTGAGAAAATCTTGAAAACTAATTGCAGTAACCTAAACAGAGTGAAACCTATTTTAAAAATACTAGAAAGCAAGCAGTTACCACGAGGAACAAACAGATAAATTAAAGGGAAGAGCTTCGAATTGTTAAAATTCGACTAGTGGATCGACCACAAGATCGACCACTAGATCGAGCAGAAACGATCGATCTCGTCTAAAATCGTAAGAACAAGGAATCTAAAGACCAGGAAGCTATCAAATAACAAGCAAAAGGTGATATGCAACGCAAATAAGCTAAAGAGAAGGGTTTCAGGGTCGAGATTCATATAAGGGGTTTCAAAGGTTGATCTTGAGTTTGAAACTTTAGATCGACTCACTTGGTGAGGGTCTCTAAGCCTCGAAAACAAAACAAGATCTATCCGTGGCTTTCGGTATAGATCACTCTTTCATCCTCTCCTCCAAACCCATGGCTTTTGGTGGAAAAAGAGGTTGAAAGGCAAGGAAGACAGATTTCGAATAATGGCTTAACTAGTCCCCCAAACTACCATGGCTTTTGGGAAGGGGTAACTAATCACTGAGGTGAGATCTTCCGAGGTCCCTGGATCCTGTCAAGGTAAGGGACCTCTCGGATCGTGAAGCTCTTGGCGTGAGAGTCTTCAAGCATTAAGCTTTCATCACATTAGAAGAGATAGATTTAAAACGTTTAGAAAACAAACCAAGATCGAACCTTTTCTACCCCTTAATCCTCTCAACCCTTAACCCTGAATGGACTACTCACTACACATAAAGGAAATCAGGCAAGGACGAAGAGAAGAAACGATAAACATGAAAGATAAACTGGATTAAAAACGATAAAGATTCGAAAATACAAAGCTTGAAACTGTTCTACAATGGTGTTCTTCCGAAAAACCAGAGAGAAGAAAACTAAAAAAAACTTGGAGAGAAGGTAAAAATCTCAAAAGTTATCGAAAAAGTAGTCGCCGCCTTTGCCAAAAATGCCAAAACAGTCCAATGGTCCCCCCGTCGCTAACAGCCAAAAACGGTTGAAAGGACAGAGATCGACCATTGGATCGAGTTGGTCTCTCGATCATATCCGGCCATCGTGTCTTTGGCTCGATCCGGGTCTCGATCTTCTGTGGTGAATCGAGTGTTGCATCCGATCTCGGTATCGATTCCGGGAGGATCGAGTGGTTTACTCGATCTGGCTTTCGCTCTGCATGGCGTCATTTACGTCCGTACCGATGCATCAACTGCGTCACTCGATCTCCGTCTCGATCATTATCCTTGGATCGCCTAGTTGGCTCGATCTTCTGGTCGATCAACTCCTAGATCGACCGGCCATGCTCGATCTGCTCCTCGATCACTGGTCCTTAGCATTTTCCCGAGCTTCCATGAACCGCTACTTTGGTCTCCACACCTCCACGAACCTCCGTGTCTCCAAAGCAACCATAAACAACCTGGAATGGATGCAAAATGCAGAGAAAATGCAAATGCTGATGCAAGAATGCTCTAGGACTCTAAGTGATGCAAATCTAACCTAAAATATGATACAAATGCATGAAAAACTATCTAATGAGTATGCAAAATGTATGCAAAATGCAATGACATCAACTTCCCCAAACTTACTCCTTGCTTGCCCTCAAGCAACAAAAAAATAAGTAAGGAAGAGAGGTTTTAAGAAAAATCAAAGGGGTTTTAAACTTTTTGCAAAGGTGGCTTTCGAATAGATCATCTCAATGTCCTAGTTAACAGTCCTAAAATGCTAAGCTTACACTCATACTCCAAAGGACTTAGCCATACTCATCACACAAAGAAATTCAAATCATGACTCTCTTATTCCTAACAATCAAAGAAATTCATCCTTTAACATTCATTAAAATTCGAACCATGAATCAAACTTATGCACTTTAAAGCAAAACACATTTGGCTAAGGGTTATGGTTATGAGCATAGAATGATCTCATTTGAAAAGGGTTTATAATTAGACAAGGGTTTCTCTCAAAAATGGTTTGAACTAATGCATAATGCTAAAGGTAAAGACAATTTATGCATACATGATTGGATTCTCATCTACCCATGTAAACTATCAAACAGTCCTATACCCCTCTCATTTAAGAAATTTAATCCTCACTCACCACTTAAAAGTCTATCCCTTTCTTCTCAACTCAGCAGTCCCCAATTCAAAACAAGAACATTTTTAAACTTTTTAGGCTAGTGAAAAGGTTTTGAAAATAATTTTTGCTCTTTAGATATTTCTTATTGGTAGCTCTCTTATATTTTTTTTTTTTATTTTTATTTGGCACTTAGGCTCTTTTATTTATTTATTTTTTTTTTTTTTTTTTTTTTTTTTTTTTTTTTTTTTTTATTATGGGAGAGCTACCTCCTGAAATTTATTAGAGCATACTTAGTTTTTAGAACACAACCTTTCACTTAAAACCCATTTCTTTCTTTAAAACACAAAGTTCTTTGAAACCAAGAACAAATACACAAGAAAGCAACCCCAATGATCCCCCAAACTTATCCTAAGCCTATCCCTAGCTTCAAAATGTAAAGCTAGCAATCAATTATGAAAACTAAATCATGTCGCCTAAACCTAACACTTTATGCCAAGTTCAAACCGAAAATAAGGCCTCACAAAAATGTCACACAAGAACATTTGGCTTCAAAGGAGGGTAAGGTTCAAGGAGGGAGTTCTACTTAGGCTCACAAAGAGTGGTAAAAAGGAAGAAGAGAGCCTAAATATTTTAAAACCATGTGTTCATTTTCAAATGCATAAGAATGATAATTAGATTTTCAAATGAAGGTTTTCACTTAGTAGGATGAGTTTCAAATCATGAGAGTTCAATTCAAGTCACGAAAATCCTAACTAGTGATCCAAGCATGGTTAGAACTTACTTTCAAAGTATAAACAAAGCATTAGAGAACTACTAACTAGGGCATTGAAATGATTCATAAGTAAAGCACCTTTTTAAGAAATCCTAACCCCTTATGCAAATGCAATCAACCTAAGTGATATGAGAAATTCTAGACTCAACCCTACATGTTTCTAAAGATATGAATGCAACTACAT